GCGATAAGTTGCTGAATAGTCAGGCAGCATTATACTAAGAAAATAAGCGGATTGTCTTTGCTATCAAAGAGAAAGCTTCGGCAAGTAAGATTCAGACAGTCCACAGTCCAGTGATACTGCGTTGTCTGTGCTCAATCAGATTGTCGATGGCGGTTCAAAGCGAAATGTCGTCTAGTATCTGATTGTAAGATATGTTTTCGACATTGAGGAGTAATACAGTGATTGAATCCATTGAACGCGCCGTTATGATTCTGGGATTGAAATAAGAGGTTCAAGGTGTAGGTCCGGACTCAGTTCATGCTCCTTTTGGACCCTTTGAGTTAAGTCGACCGTCCAAACCTGGTGAGTATCCGTACCTTGAAAGGTGATGTTCCAATGCGGCGGCGGGGCTCCTCTTTTCTGCCCCGAGGGCTGCTCCTCCGCTTCGGCATCTGCCTCCTGGAACATCATGCAAAATGGATTGTCAATATCTGACCATCTGCCGCTAATTGTTCCAAGATTGTTCAGATCTTCAAAGATGGCGGCCAAATCATAGGTGCCTCAGGACTACGTCACTAATGAGGTCGGGCTGAAATTAAACGACTTGCATGAATCGGCCAAACATGTTCTCGCATCAGGTGCTGGGCAAACCGGCAGCAGAGGCGCCAAAAGGCAGTACGTTTGCATGATTCAGTTGTCAAACGAGGAGCGATTCTGAAGACCCTCTCGGACGCTGAGGCATTTTTCACGCGCAACATGAAGCGCGCCCGGTCGCTGCACTCTTCAAAGCTTGCAAACTGGGGCGGGCGTAGAGCGCCGCATGGCGGCGACCGCGGGCCGAGCCGTGACTCGGGCCGCCGCATGCGGTAGCGCCGGGCTGGCGGCCCTGCGCGGCGGCGGCCCTGGTCTAACCAGATTTATCCAGTGAACTGGGAGCACCTGCTGGCATTGGCCAGCAGGCCGCAAGGAGCCGGCCACTGTTTTCATTACCGTCGAACATTGAAAGCATAAGGAAGTAGTACCTTTTGGAGCTGTTTGTTGCGGTCCATCTCGATCAGGTCCATGCACTGTAGAAACACATCGTGCACGCCGCTCTGCAAACGGGCATAGGAATATCAATCAGATCGAGGCTCCCCACTCCGGTATAGGACTGCTTCGAACTTGGTGGCAAACACTACAGCGGAAGCTTTTCTTTTATGATGGAAAAGCCCTCTCGTTTTTTGGAAGTTTCAACGGCCCAAGGGGCATTTTGTGCACATTAAACGTACGTCATTACTGCTAATAAAAGATGGATTCAATCAAAACCCATGCAAGAGCAGCTAACAAGCTAACTGCGTAGGCCACAACTTTGGCTGCTAATTGTAATCTGAAGCTTCGGGTCGTCGAACTCGAGGTATGCCAGTGCAACCTACCTTGTTTGCCCCAGATGGAAGAGCCGACAATACCCATAGAATCCCTGGCTGTGAATAAGAAGGTTTGTCCGGAAAAGCCACTCGAACGCCGTTCGACAAAGCTAACGCTGTTGCTAGTAGTGTAACTAAGAACATCTCCGGCGGCACGGACAATGCTGTGCTGTATGCCTCCACCAGAGTGCGGGTGTGAGGTAGCAGGATTGATAGATCTAGTCGATGGTTCCAAAGATGATCGGCCACATGTCTAAAGGCTGAAGCTTGGGCTTCTCTATCGGCAAAAAGATTCCCAGTAGGCACTCCATTTACGGCGTCCACGGTGAAAGCCATGATCCAGAAGAGGAGGAAAGGAACAGAGCAGGACGAAGCCAGCATAAAGGCTCTCCTTAGGATCCGTACAGCCGCGCCCATCAAAACGGGGACGCAGTCGCGAGAGAAAACCTGCAAAGGGGGCTCATATTTGACTGAAGGATCGACTTGCAGTTGAAGCTCCGAGGCTTTTGACTCACTGTTCTTCTTTCACAGAATTCAACTTGTGGCACCGTGACATTTACAGCGGTTCAAAGGTGCCGGATGCTTTTGTCTGCATGTGCAGCAAGCGGGTGTTCGTTTCTTGAAGACATCTGAAGCTCCTAAACTTTGTGAGTCCGATTACGTTCTCCCGGCTATACGCGCGCCCGTCACAATAGCCTAGAGACGCTTACCTGGAGATGATGGATGACTGCTTCCATCGTCCATATCAACATTGGGATGCAGCAGACCGGTAGAACGACGAAATCAAGCCTGCGGCAGGAAGCAAGGACTCAAAATGTTGATAGAACATGTTTGACCATTTGTGCAAGAGCATATATTCGACCTCAAGCTTCCATCAGTAACTTCGTCTCTTTCTTTCTTGAGGGGGAAGTAAATCGAATTCCGGCAGGTGACAGAGCTGGTGGTTCAAATGCGAACCGAAATCAAAGCATTGATGCTTGCTCATCAGTTGTTCTCACAATTTCATATGTGGCTGACCCAAGGACGACCTTACCCAGGAATCCATAGGCAAATATCAGGCCATATGAGGAACCGAGTGACAATCAGGATTGGCGCAAGGCACATGGTGACCGTGCTCGACATCAGACCCCGGTACTGCCAAAGACGAGTCCCCTCGTAGCGTACAGCCAGAGCCACTTGATTGCGTGCAAAAGTGACAAGGAACGCCTGTACAAGTAAGCACAAATAGATGGTCAAAGTTTTGATTAGATAGAGCGCAAAGAGAATCCGCATTACGATCCTCAAAGATGTGAGCCTTACGAAGGAGTTTGGCGACGATCGAATGAGGCCCTGTTATACACTCATACACTGCAGCCAACTTGCCCTTAGGTGGAATTGCGGATCCCCGGGCCTCACCCGGTTATATCAGACAGTGCTGACGGACAACTGACGGTATCGGAGAGTGGAAGGCGAAGAGCACCAATTAAATCCAAATTTAAAAGGCATTTGAAACATTTGAGTACGTTTCTAAAGATGTGCCCGGGGGAACACGTCAAAGTGGCCCTGCCAACACAAGCAACCGCACGGCCTGGAGGCCTGCGGTTTGGGGTGGTCCGACGTTGCTGACGTCATTCCGGGACTAGAATCTAAGACGGCAATCAGAATCAAAGTTCAAAGAACATTCCAAAGGAGGGCGGCTTGTTTAAGTCTCCAATGGAATGTGCCTCGCGGGAGAAACCGCCAAACTTGAAATGGCCAGCCCTGTCATCCAATGCAGCCGAGCGACCTAGGGCTGCGGACCTGCCACATGTATCGTCCTCAGATTGTGCTGGATGCCATCCGTGATAAAATGATGAGATGAAAAACTGAAGGAGAATCCGAAAAGATTTCCAGCGGTGTGCTGCATGCTTGAATCTCCGAAGGATTGACCCCAAGGGCACCCCCAATATATACTAATCAGAGCCCGACTGGAGCTTTGACTAGGAAGACAAGTTGTAAAGATTGATAACGTAGCCGCTACCACGTGGCGGGGAGAAAAGAGTCTCATCCTTGGAATAGACTCTACACGGCAGCCCAAGAATGCTTTTAATCCTGACCTAAAACAACATGCATTCTAGCAAGCTAGACTCGGAGAGACACGTGATTCCGAACCCACCTCCACGCAACGGGTCCAGTGGGTGAGTCCCGTTGCCCACGTTGGCACAAAGTGGTCGGCAAACTGCTTGATGACGTAAACCGTGTATAGAGAGTTCCAAAGCACACCAACCCTGCAAAGCTAAGAAAACATTTTAGAACTGTGCAACTTGAAGCCTGGGAGGCAAAGATTAGGAGTTTTGCATGCGCCCGGTCCAGCTTACAACGAGATTTGCATCTTTCAAGTTCTTGACTCAGTGGAAACGCCAAAGCCTGCTTGACTTGCTGAATGCGCTAAGAGCGAGTGTACTGTAGCAACAGCAGTGATTCCTGTTTGCCTGCAGTTCGTCTGGTCACATAAGAAATTGTTTGCAAAAGCGCTAGTCAGACGAGTCACTCTCCGCTAATGCCAATGATAACTAACTCACCAGAGCATTTGGTCCCTTGATCCGGTTGCACATGCTGTTGCCACATCGGGTTCATACCAGCAAAGGACTCCTGAAGACCAGGTACGGAATGCCATGAAAGGAATATATCCTAGAAGTAGGGCTGTCCTTATGATGTGTCCGGCGAGGCAGACAAACGCCAGACGCCGGGTGATGAGAGGCGATACGCCGACTTTTACTGGATTGCCGTCTGAGCGTTGTCCGTGAGGTGTCGCCGACCGTTGGGCCATCTGCACATGGTTTAGATTGATGATATCAATTAGAGACTACAGCAAAGCGGTTGTTTCTTGAAGTCCAAATCTGTTCGTGTCTCACCTGCCTATCCCTTCTTAAGGGTCGCTCTAAGCTTCTCTGTGCACCTTCTCGAAGCGGAGCACTATGACTGTCCGGTCGACCGACCTGAATATAGGGCCTGCGCCAACTACGATAGTTCTAAGTAGAGGAGCATCACTCCGTAAAGGTCGTAAGAGGCCGGAGTACACGGCGTATCGTGATCAGGTCCCGCCCGTCTTGACGTGGAGAAGACCCTTACGAAGGAGCTTGGCTTCCTGTAAGAAAAAAGAACAGGCATGTGCGAAACATCTTTAGCTAAAGTCGGAAGACTAAGCAAGCTGCTTTGGCGAGAGGCGAAAGAATGTTTCGTTGGTTTTCTGGGTAAATGCTTCGAGCCTTACCCGTTTCTCGTTTTTTAGTTGAAGCATTCGTAGTAGGAAGAACGTAAACCTCGACTTGTTCATGTTCCGCACTACATGCTTGTAGTTACGCATCCACGAGAACAACTTCTCGCACACCTGCGCGAGCACAAAACGGCTTTGTTGTGAGCTGGATAAGACTTCCTTGTCGAAGCTCCACGAATTGGCGATCGGCTGCATGACTTGGAGGACAGAGCAGCTTTACAAGTGGAGATTAGATCGACGCCTGTTTCTTGGATTTCGGAACCGAGCGAGTAGTTTCCACTGATTGAAAGCAGAATCCGAGAGCTCCGGATCTTGAAGAGGATAGTTGACTCAGGCTCAGAGAGACCCGGCCGTCCGACCTACTGTCAACGTTCGGAAACTCTACTGAAACTTACCTGGGTATCGACTCCGTCAAGCGCACTCAGCTTGTACGGATCCATCATGTCCTGGCACCAGTCGCCCACGTGATTGGGAAAGTGAAATCTGAAAATGGGATTGCGAAAACAGTCAATCCTCAGTCGAAGGGATTTTTAAGAAGAGACTCTTGATTTCGACAAATGTGAAAAATCTGTGCGGAGCCGGTGCACCTCATCCTAAAACCCGTCCCTTGGCCGGAATACATTTTGAGTACCTCCGGTTATGCTGCTGCAAACTGGTAAAGCATAATTCTAGTCCAACGAGGAGTGACAGTCTAACAGAGAGTGTGGTGCCCTTAGCATGATTCCCTTCAGATGCTTCACATTAGTACCGGAGACAGGTGTATTAACTCTTCAAACTTCATGATTCACCTCTAGGATCCTTCCTGAAACTTACTTGTCGACAAACACGCGGCACTCGTTGGCGAAGCGCCACTGAATGGTTGTCATCTTCTCCTTGATAAAGCGCACTTTGTTCAAAATATAGCGCGCTAGATGGCAGCCATCGTCATATCCAAAAAGACTTGGCACGTTCCCCAAGATGCTCCACATTATGATCAGGAAGGCGTATACTTGCGAGTTCCTGCTCAGAGAAACGAAATGATGAAGTGAATATAGGGTACGATTGTCTGCTCTTACAACACTCTGAACGTCTTAACAAGCAAGTTACGTGAGTAGAGCGAAGCTCCAAAGAGCATGGGAGTAAGCCAAGAGCTTGGAGGTTTGAGAACGATGCGATGGAGCCTCTCCGACTGGAAGGCACCATGAACGTTTTTGTGGCTCCTACGTACCCCTCTGAACCATACAACTCGGTCAAGCCAAAGGCTATTCCACACGTCCAACAGATGGCAAAGACGCCGGCGCTCCGCTCCCGTGCCCCAGGCGCGCTTTGGTGCTCATCCTTCAAAGTGTTGCACGATTGGGCGCTTCCAGACGCACGTGAAACCTTGTCTCCATCCGTATATGCCAGGGAGCCTTCGATGGCTTGCAGATCGTCGAGGTTCACCGAAGCTACACCGGGTTTCTTTGGATGCAACGCTTGCTGCAAAACGGGAAAATGGGAGGGACATTGAGCGGAGGTCCGTGATAAGATAGGATGGTATTTTGACATCTGACGCCTTCGAGAGAATGGTTCCTACTGAAACGAAGGTACTACATCTCACCGTTTAAAGGCTTGATTTCGTCAAAGGCCGCCGCCGCAATAAAGTCACGCCCGCAATCGATCAGCGTTAAGTAGCGTTTTCATGCGAAATCTGTACGACTTTTTCACAAGATCTTCTCATGATCGCCCACAATCTGCTTACTCATTGGAGTCACTAGTTCTGCATTCACGAAGTGAGATCGATCGTTTCGATCATTTTGGCATGACGGGCAAAGCGCCCGCGCGCGGTCGCCGGTTACCGTGACCGGGTTGAACGCGCGCGCGGCCGCGCCGTGAGCGGCCCCGCGCGTGCACGCAACCTGCTAGATCGGATGCAAGGACGAATTGTATCTAAACCTATGCAGGCGCCTTTTGTGACTTCAAATGACTTACTCTCTCCGAGAAGAAGTCTTCCACTAGCGAGGGACGAATGTTGCTCTCGGGCTCCCAGGTATCGTGCTTTGAATGGTTCCACTTGCCGCCCCAGCGGATCCGGAACTCTCGTTTTTGTAACTCCGGGTTCACCCGAACATCGAGCAGCGCGTTAACTAGGAACTCTCCCTTTTGAAGCGGAGCATATTCGGAATCTGATTCTGCTCCTTCCGTTGAAGCGTCTGCATCACCTTCGACAACCAAGGAGCTCGAAGTTGCCCGAGTGACGCGAAGAGGTGGCAATGGACCACGTGTCGAATTGGGTGCTTCTGACGGCCCCCCACCAGCACAATGGTTTCGGCATTCGTTGCAAAACCGCGACCTCGGAGCAGGAGTCTCCTGACAGCCGACGTGCATAACAGGGTCCCCAAATAATCCGGGGCAGGGTATCGTGACCGGCCGCCACTTATTGGCGCAAAGGCTCCGCCGACACTTCATGTGCCCGTCTCCGACTGCGATACTCCGACAACCTGCAGAACGAAGGGAGTAATATGAGAAAGTTTTCGTAGCCAGCGTCATTCAAGCACAGATAGACAGGCCGCCTCTTCTCATGCCGACTCTATTTTTGAGGCAGCCTTGTCGATTCCCGTTTTGCCGGCCCGGCCTGATCCGCGTCAAGCGCTCGGCAGCCATCTAAATGGGCTCATGCTAGAGTCACCAGACCACTCGCTGACTCGCTTAGGATCCTTTGCGAGAATCCCCCCAGAAAATGATTGCCTACCTTTGACTCTGCAAGAGTGATTCCGGCCCCATCTATCGGTGAATCCCAGCTGCATGTGAGGGGTCCAAAAATCTAGAAGGCTGTCAAGATCACCACCTGCAGATAAAAAATAGATTGAGTGTGCTTGCCACCAGTACGGTTATACGGGTCATTGACAAGAACCGATCGCGAGCACAGTTTGTGATTTCGGGCGACGATCTTCTTGGCTTTTTTCCGATCCGTGATTGAAGAGCTCAAAAGCGTGGGACAACAGATCGGCTCGAAGAATTCATGTGTAAATGCACCTATACCCGACTTCCTCCATACGCATAGTACAGAGGAATACTAAGCAGGCTATTGCGAAAGAGCACCTTCCAAGCAGACGACAGACAAGTCGAGAATTCCCTAAGATGGTCACCGAGAAATCACCATTGCCAGCTTACCGTACCTAGAGGGATCTGAGATAGGTCGGAGGTGGGTTCGGATTGGTGCCAGCTGACGAGCGTCCAGCGAAACCAGGCTTCAAGGAGCCGTTTCCTGTGCAGTTTCCGGTTCGGCAATAGCCGTTCACTTGCCCCGGCAAGATCATCCCACAAATCGGAATAGGATTTAGCCATACCCCTAAAGCTGGAGTGGTTCA